CACAAGCGCAAACACGAGGAGCCACAGTGGTGCACACAGCGACACACACGCACAGTCAGCCATAGGCTCCAGCCACAAGCGAAGCCACTGGCACACGCCCTCATCCATCCAGATGTACACACACTCTGCTACACAGTCGGACACACCCTCTCACAGCCACATTCACGGGTAGACACACGCAGGCACATATCCTCACCCAGACAGGCAGACGCGCGGAGACAGGACACGCACGCACCCTCACACACATGTACACACAGATGCACGCCCGGAGCACACACGCACGGGCGCACACCTCGGGCATCCGCTCGCATAGATTCACGGGCATACGCGCGCTCACACCCAACACACCCGGAGACGTGAACCCGACACACACACCCGCGCCAGTACCGAAACTCCCGAACCGAAGGACCAGGCTCTGAGCACCGGCGCCCGCCCCCACCCCACCGCCCCACGAGCCTGCCCGCCTGCCTGTCAGCGGTCGAGGATCAGCTATCGAGCCCGCAGCCCTCCGCCATCACCCCACACGACACGCGTGATCGGACGCCGTGGGGGCCCCAGGGCCAGAGGAGGACAACTGGCGCCGCTAACCTGGCGGCAGCGAAACGGCTTCCGGGCACTGTCTCTCGGTCCTCGCGTCCGGCGGCCGCCCGGGCGGGCTCCGAGGCGCACTCCAGCTGCGCAGAAATGCCCCGCTCGCTCGCGCGCCCGCTGCTTCTCTCCCTCCCACGGCGTTCAGCCCCCTCCTCGCCCGCCCCGCTACACCCCTTCTCCCCCCTCCGCCCCTCCCCGGCCCGCTCCGCCGGTGGAGAAGGCAGTGATCCCGGCCGCCCAAGCAGCAGCAGGCGGGCGAACGAGCGAGCAGCAGCGGCGAGTGGCCAACAGCCGGGGGAGCGCTGGAGCCGCCGGAGCCGGGCCCGCGCTTCGGGAGGAGCCGAGCCGGCCCCGGGGGAGGGGAGCAGAGGAGGGGGCTGAGCCCCGCGAGCCCTCACGGCGCTGGGGGCCGGTCGCCAGCTTCCCCTCTTAGGCCTGGCGCCTACCTGAGCCACCGGAGAGCTCAGAGGCCGGGGGCAAGCGGTCGGGTAAGGAAGAGGAGGAGACCCCACCCGGGGCCTCCTAGCCTTCGCGGTCCCAGCCTGGTGGGCTCGGGCCCCGCCTCCACCTCCTCCCGGGTCCCTGCCAGCGCCGACTTCGGTTTCCTCTGGCTTAGACTTCTCGGCCCTTGGCCCGACGCCCCGGGCTAACCCTGCAGCCCGCTGCCCAGCCTGCTGACCTCGTCTACCTCTAGCTGAGACCTGGCCAACGCCCACCCGCCTCCACGCCGCCCTCCCATTGTTCCAGCGGCTGACGGCCGGAGCTCGCGGAGGATCGCTCAGCACATTCCAGCCCCTTCTAAGGTGGCAATACCTCTGGACTCTGTGGTCTCTCCAAGGGCTGAGACCTGGGCTTTGGGATCCGGACGCCCAACCTCCCCCTTCCCTCCCCCCTACCCTCTGCCAAGCCCAAACACACCCAAAGTAAAGAGCTTTTCCAGACTAAGGTAATAACCACCACGGCCCACTTACAGATGCTTTGCTAGGTCTGCTTTGAGAATGGACTGAGGCTAGGGGAAGGAAGGGAGCCCAAGAGAACATCTGGGAGAAGATGGGGCACCAATTAGGTGTTTCCATTTCATAGATGAAGAAAAGGAGGGGATTCCTGCCCTAGGACTCCTGGGGCAGGGCCAGGCCCTCCAGAAGTGCCTGGAATAATGAGTCTGGGCCTCCTTTGTTTAATGCTGAAGCACAGAAACTGGGGAAGAAACAAGTGTCACTCACTTGGTAGGGTTTACTAGAAGTCAGAGCATAGGCAAAGGCCTGACTGCAGGAGCTTTTACTTACTTTGTCTCACTTGCTCTGAGCACGTCTTAATTGGCATCTGTAATTATCCCTGTTTTTCAGATCAGAACTTTATCCTAAGTCTCTTCTCCAGGAAGCACAGCACCAAGGTGAAGCTCCACAATTCTGATTCTTCACTGCAGTCCCCACCTCTCTAGTGTGGGATACTAAGAGCAAATACAATGTAAGCAGCTGACAACCTAAGAAATCAGGGAGGGGAGGCCTGGTTTGAACCTCCAAGGACTTCCACAAACTAAGAGAGGGCAAAACTATAGGAGCCAAGGCCTCAAAGCAAGACTGAGCATGACTTGTCCAGGAGGGAAAATTGTTATTAATAATAAGATCCAAGGGCTGGGTGTGATAGCTCATGCCTGTATTCCAGATAGCACTCTGGGAGGCCAAAGTGGGTGGATTGCCTGAGTTCCTGAGTTTGAGACCAGCCTGAGCCAGAGCAAGACCTCATCTCTAAAACAAACAAACAAACAAAAAAATAGCAGAGCATTGTGGCAGGCACCTAATAGTCCCAGCTACTTGGGAGCTAAGGCGAGAGAATTGCTTAAGCCGCAGAGTTTGAGGTTGCTGGGAGCTGTGACGCCACAGCACTCTACTGAGGGTGACAAAGTGAAACTCTGTCTCAAATAATAATAATAATAATAAGATCCAATGATAACTTGTTTAGAACACTTACTATATTCTAGGCACTGTTCCAAGAGCTTTACTTGCATTAACTCATTTAATCTGCACAGTAACTCTACTGGATAAAGGTTTTTCTTATTCCCACTTTATACATGTTTAAACTGAAGCACAGATATTACATAGTTTGTAAAGTGGCAGAATCAGGATCCAAACTTGGGAAGCTAATTCCCAATCTTATACTTTTAATGACTTCAGGCCAGACAGAAGCAGCCCTGAATGTGAGGCAATAGCATTTGAACTAGAGTACCCATTACAACAAGACTCTGTTTATTGGTATCTTCTCTCTCCCTGTAGATACCTGGTATGTACCTACTACCTAGGATGTAGGCCTAATTTGTTAAACAACTGCACAACTGTGATATGGGGCTAGAGTGTAGGGTATCATATCCAGGGCTCTGTTGCAACCACCTGTTCTCTGCTGGACATTTTTATCAGTAGTTTTAGATGAAGCAGAGGAAAATATGAAATACTGATCAGCTCTACTGTTGTCATGAAGTTGGGAGAGACAGCAAACACTCTGAACACTCTGGAAACCAGAATCAGCTTTTTAAAGATCTCTGCAGGCTTGGGGGCTGATCTTGAACTCTCAAGATAAGATGCTACACAGAATAAGTGTGAACTCCTGCCCTTAGGTCCAAACCAGAGCAGTTCCATAGAAATTTTTGTGATGGCTCGGTGCCTGTGGCTCAAGTGGCTAAGGCACCAGCCACATACACCTACGGTGGCAGGTTCGAATCCAGCCCGGGTCCGCCAAACAACAATAATGGCTGCAACCAAAAAACAGCCAGGCGTTGTGGCGGGCGCCTGTGGTCCCAGCTACTTGGGCGGCTGAGGCAGGAGACTTGCTTGAGCCCAGGAGTTGGAGGTTGCTGTGAGCTGTGACGCCATGGCACTCTACCCAGGGGGACAGCTTGAGGCTCTGTCTCAAAAAAAGAAAAAGAAAAAGAAATTTTTGTGATGACAGAAATGTCCTGAATCTGTGCTGTCTGACCTGGTGGCCACTAGCCATCTGTGGCTATTAACCACTAGAAATGTGGCTAGTACAACTGAGGAACTACAAATTTAATTTTATTTATTTTAAAATACTTTTTGGGGAAGGGAATTTGCCCTTTTCCCCTGAAAGTTCAACTTATATTTAAGGCAGATTAATAAGGGAAATGTTCATTTCCAAATATCATGCACATGGGGAGAATCACAAGAATGATTAGCCCTATTGTTAAATAGTTTAAATTTGAATAGCCATATGGGGCCAGTGGCTACCATGGTGGACAGTGCAGAGTTCCAAGTGATCGTGTGCCCCAAGTACAGTACAGAAAGAATCTGGATTCAGAACAGATTCAGTGAAAACAATTTAAATGTTTTAGTTGACTTCGAGCTCAGCAGTGCAATGTGGCTGCAAGAAAGCAAAAATGAAAGAGAACAAGGGGGGAAGAAAGGAGAGAGAAAGGAAGGAGAGAAGGAATGAAAGGAAGGAGGAAGGAGAAAGGAGAATAAAGAAGGGAAGGAGAGTGACTATGATTTTAAAATATCAACAGAAACCAGAGGTTAGGCTGGCTCTGCTGCTATAGGTGGATCACAGATGAACCACGGGGCTCAGCTCTGCACCCCACATTCTGAGGGGGCCACTGTCACACTGGAGCATGTCTAGTGGCAGCAACCATAATGTTGAAGACCTGGACACTATGATGTATGATGAATTACTTAAGTAGCCTAGAGAAGAGAACACACAATGGGGCTGGGGGAGTATCTCCAAACATCTCACACACAAAGGGGATTTTATTTGTTTCCTATTATTTAGGTCTAATTAAAAAAAACATTCTGTATAAGTGAACCTCTAGGCCACATGCTCTGAAGGAAGGATCCATGTCAAATTTATCTTTCTGTTCTCTTTAGCACCTAGTCCGCCCAGGACCCGGCTCATATTAAACATTCACTATTTGCTAACTGATTGGATATGAAAGAATTCTACCCAGCTCCTATAGATAGACATCCAGGAAGACAATTTCAGGATATGGTAAAGAACTCTCTAACAGTCAAAACTACCCAAGAATGGAATGGACCGTGTTGGGAAGGCTGAACTCCTTATTAATAAATGTATTCAAAGAAAGATTGGGTCTTCATTGGAAGGCGAGGAAACAGGTGACCCCTCAAGTTGAAAAGCAAGTAAGTATTATATTAGGAAGGGAAAGGCAATATCAAAGCTATGCGGACAATTATGTGGCAATATATATAGAACAAATTGATGGGAGAGGGACCAGAAGCAGCAAGGACCAGTTAGGACCACTGCAGTGATGCAGGAAATAAGAGAATAGACACAGCAGCAGTGGGATTGGAAAGTCAAGGACAGACACAAGGAAAGCTGTAGTTTCTAGTTCTGCCTCTGCTATTAACTTATTGTCATTAATTTACTGTGTAGGCTCTGATAAACCTCATCCCCAGGGTAAATCCATTTCCTTCTTCAGATTTCAGTGTTGCCATCAGTGAAACACAGGATGATCTGCAAGGCCCCTTCTAACTCTGATTCTGTGAATTGGAGAGAGATAATGAACAATAACTGGAATAATATATTAGAAAACCTTCTTCATAAGTGTCACAGTAGCAATATCACTAATATCATTACTATTATTATTATTTCACAGGCACCTCACCAAGACATGGTGACTGGACTGGTAGGAGGTGACGGGAAAGAGGTGATTGGATTGTACCTGTGGGGTGGGATGGAGAACAAAGACCTCTGATCTTTGGGGAGGGTTAGCTAACCGCTCTATCCCTTCCCCAACATCTGTGAAGACAAACAATGTTCTATGCCCCATAACCTTGTGAACCGTTTCCTCATTCCTTTAAGCCACACCTTATACTTGGCTAAAAGAAACAACCAGTTCTAGGAAAAGTTAGACTCTGTTCCCCTCCATTATATGTTCACAAATAATTCCTGGTCTTAGCCTTTCTCCTTCAGTATCATCATCTCATATGAAAATAGCCAACATTATTCAGCGCTTAGTAAATGCTGAGTACTTTGTTTACATAATTTTCTCACCCTGGGAGGCAGCTCTAATTGTTATCCCCATTTTATAGATGAAGACACTATGGCTCATGCAGATCTATAATTTTCTCACAGCCACACAGCTTATAAAAAGGATTTTAATACAAGTCTGATTCCAAGGTTGTATTCTTAAAGATCTCCAGCACTTTACTATGTATTTTTGAAAATAATACATTGAGAGGAGGGCAAGATCAGTGTTGTTCTCAATTTATGGCTGGGGAAACTGAAGGTCAGAAAGGTTAAACTTAATAACTTGGGCATATTAATAAAGTCTTCCACAGTGTGGTTTAGTGTTCTTTTTTACTTCTCAGAGCTGTCCTTCCTCTGTCCTAGACCTGATGGGTAGAGACTTGCTCAGTCTACTTAAAGGAAGGACTTTTACTCCCTTTTCTTGAGAGAAGGGAAATGTTTGTGAAAGGTCTAAGTTAATTTCCACCTCCCCTCCCCACCACCTCCAACACATACACCCTAGCCCAGGGCTTTGTGGTGACAGGCACTGAAAGCTTATAGAGTGAGTCATGTGGGGCTGACCTGCCAGAGTCATCCAAGCACAAGGTGCTAAAGCTTAGTTTAGAGGGGTGGAAAAATAGGCCAAGTGTTCTTATCCTCAGGAATATGGCCCAGTTGTAGCCTGTGCTTCTACTCATCTCATCCCAAAATACTGCAAACATTTGGGGAATGTTTTTTTTCTTTTCTTTTTGAGACAGAGCCTCAAGCTATCCCCTTGGGTAGAGTGCTGTGGCTTCACAGCTCACAGCAACCTCCAACTCCTGGGCTCAAGCAAGTCTCCTGCCTCAGCCTCCCAAGTAGCTGGGACCACAGGCGCTCGCCACAATGCCCGGCTATTTTTTGGTTGCAGCCGTCATTGTTGTTTGGTGGGTCTGGGCTGGATTCGAACCCGCCACCTTAGGTGTATGTGGCTGGTGCCTTAGCCACTTGAGCCACAGGCGCCGAGCCGACATTTGGGGAATGTTATACAAGGCCTTGGGGATACATGGGACACATGACAAATAAGAATGCATCTTCACTTTTCACAGCAGATGAGACAGTATGTACAAAATAATATATATAGGAGAACTACCATAGTTGACCACCTCCTGAAGTTGACCTAATTTTCATAGGCCAGATATGCACCATGTATCAGTGTAGTAGGCCTAGCTCCTTATGTTAACCATTTTGTTATAGTCACTTGGGTGGTCAACTTACAGAGGTTCTACTGTATTTATAAAGAACAGTGAGAATACATGGTGATCAATACTGAGAACAAAACTCCTGAAAGAGTTGAGATTGGAGTGGAGTCTCAAGAGTGAGTTCAGCACACTGACAAGGTAGAAGAGCACTCCAGGCTGCAAGAATGCACATGCTGAAACTTAGATATATTTGAACCCTATCTAGCAGGCAGTAGGGAACCATGAAGTACACTATGGCTTTGGAGGCAGTCTGTCTGAGTTTGAAATCCTGGCTCTGCCCCTTCCTAACTGTTTGACCTTGGGCAAGTTACTCAACACTGTGGTTGAGGTATTATTATTCCGCATTATTGGCTCTTCCCCTTTGCTAGTAAGAGGATTATACAAACCAGAAGAATTGCCATGTGACTTGAGTACCCTCCAGAGGAAGGAGTGCACATCCCCAGTCCTTTGTCAAGTTTAACCACATGACTTACTTTGGCCAGTGAAATATGAGCTGGAGAGCTGGCTGTCAGTTCTAAGCAGAAACTTGAAGAGCCATTGCATGTTAAAGTCAAAAATCTTCTTTCTTATCTCTGGAAAGGTATATCTTGGATAGGGGCTGTGCCTTCAGCCTGGATCCTGGAAGGAAAATTTACAGAGCAGAGCTCAGTCAACCCACAGCTACTGATGTGTAATGTGATGAAGAAAATTGGGTTGCTATAAGCTCCTAGGATTTGGAATTATTTGTTACTACATTGTAACTTAGCAAATGCTGACTGGTACACCCTTTTATAGTGTGGGAGATTTTAGTAGTATTGATCTCATATAACTGTTGTGAGGACTAACTAAGATTATCTCATGAAAAATGTATCATTTTATTAGAGATTTGCATTATAAAATGGCTACTCTGCCTGCACATATATGGAAATTCAGTAAACAACAGAAATGGCATTTGCAAAATAATAATGAAAGATAGTACTGTATAGTGGGTTGAATAGTGTCCTCCCCCAAAGGTCACATCCCCCCACAACCTTAAAATATGAACTTATTTGGAAATAGGGTCTTTACAGATATAATTAATTCGGGATTTCAAGAATAACTCATCCTGGATTTAGGGTGGGCCCTAAATCCAATGACTGGCATCCTAATAATAAGAGGAGAAGACATATACAGAGAGAAGACACTGTAAGGACAGAAGCAAAGATTAGCGTGAAGGGTCTACAAGGAATGCCGAGGTTTGCTGGCAACCATTAGACGCTAAGAGAGACGCATGAGATATTTTCTCCCTGAGACTCTCTAGAAGGAACCAACCTTGCTGACACCTTGATTTCAGACATCTGGACTCCTGAACTGCGAAAACACATATTTCTATTGTTTTAAGCCACCCAGTTTGTGGTAATTTATTATGACAGCCCTAGGAAAGTAATATGGATGAATTACTTAAAAAATAATAATGAACAATTGGTTATTCATCTGGAAAAAAATAAAATCAGCTTACTATCTTACAGCATGCATGAAAATAACCTTCTGTTAAAGATCTAAATTTCAAAAGCAAAATATTAACATCTTTAGAAGCACCAATAAAAATCATCTTCAGCACCTCAGGATAGGAAAATATTTCTTAAGCCACAAAAAAAAAAAAAAAATCACATGTTAGAGTTCTTTAGAGAAACAGAATTAATAGAAGAGAGAGAGAGAGATTTTAAGACACTGGCTCATGTGGTTATGGAGGCTGAGAAGTCCCAAGATCTGCAGTCAGCAAGCTAGAGGCCCAGAATAGCCAATGGTTTAGTTCTATTCTGAGTCTAAAATCCTGAGAACCAGCAGGGCCAATGTACAGTCCAAGTAAAAGTCCCAAGGCAAGAGAAGACCAATGTCCCACTTGAACACAGACAGAAAGAAAGAATTCTCCCTTAATCTACCTTTTTGTTCTATTCAGGCCTTCAATAGTAGATGAGGACCACCCACTAGAGAAGATTAATCCACTTTATTCACTCTACAGGTTCAAATATTAATCTCATCCAAACATTCTTACAGATATACCCAGAATAATGTTTAACCAAACAAATATCTGGGCACTCCATAGCCCAGTCAAGCTGACACATAAAATCAATCATCATACACATCAAAAATGAAAAGAACAGATATAAGCAACTACAGTAAATGTAGAAATTCTGTGCATCAAAAAATGCCATAAAGGTAGATAAGCCACTACTGGGGAGAAAACCTCTACAATACTTTTTGGCCAGCAAACAATGCAAATCTTTAGAATGGAATTGATCAGTTCAGAGTTTCAGCCCAAAGTATCTCCAAAATGAGACAGGTTTTCTGGGACCCCCAAGCTCTCCCTCTTACATAAGAGCCAAACTGTCATTGAGCAGCTGTCAGAAATTAATACTGGAGAGAAGGGCCCAATAATTCCAAGGAAACTCTCACGCATGGGATAATTTTGGATTAGTCCTTTTGTTTTTCTGACCTAAATTTTCTAATATGTAAAATGAAAGATTTGAGCCAACAGTTGTCTCTAAGAGTTCTTTCTTCTGCGACATGCTAGGACTATAAAGTCATGAGTCTGTCCCTAAGTAGAAGGAAATTCCTGGGATCAAGGTCTTACATAGAAGAAATATTCTAGCTCTTATTTTCTGAAAATAAGTTAAGCTCAAAGATATGAGGAAAGGGACATAAGATATTTTGACCCTAAGGATGTTTGACTGTGTGTTTATGTTGTGCTGAACACAATGTTCACAAAAATGTTGTGCTGAACACAAACATTTTTTTTTTTAGGATTATATAAATATAATGACTTTTCTTTTTTTTTTTCCTAGTTTCACATAACTGATTTTTGTTTTGTTTGAAGTTAGGTTAGCAACATTTATAGACATTTTAACTTTCCAATAATATAATGACTTTTCAAGGCAGATATTTTGGGGGGGTAACTAGATTTTAATTCCTTTAATTATCTTTATGATCAATAAAAAAAGTTGAAAACTTTTGCAAACTTTGAAAAAAGTAATGAAATTATTTTCACTGAGACCAATTATTTTCAATGAAAACTTGATTGGAAAAATCAATTAATCAATACTTTTATGGTTCATATAGAACTGATTATTGATGGCTCGGCGCCTATAGCTCAACCGGCTAAGGCGCCAGCCACGTACACCTAAGGTGGCGGGTTCGAATCCCCAGCCCGGACCCGCCAAA